CTGTGAGCTGTAATTCCACGGCACTCTACCCAGGGGGACAGCTTGAGGCTCTGTCTCAAAAAAAAAAAAAAAAGAAATAAAAATCAAAGCCCAAACTGATAAAAAAAAAAAAAAATAGACAACCCTGCCAGTGCTATCAAATCAGACTCTGGGTTACTGCTTCATTCTGCAAACCCCAGGAAGAAGAGGAATTAATTTTAAAATACTGCCTAAGTCATCTCCTGATAGTTTGGATGACTGCTTCATTTTTAAAGATTGAGCTGAACCCTTTCATTCTTACTGAAGAGAAACCCTGAAGCCCACAGGAATAGCCTACCAATCCTCATAGCACAGGCTGCAACAGCTGTTAAAATTTTGAATGACTTCCCTGACAATTAGTAAATAGCATTTCCCCAATCCTCCCAGACCCTCACCCATCGCTCCCCTGATCCCTTCTCGGGAACCCCCAACTTCCTCACTTTCAGCAATGCCCAACATAATCATCGTTGTATGAGCTGTGTTCATTCTGAGTGGCCAAAGCCCCTCACAAAACTAACTGTTAAAGATTTTGAATATCAGGTGCAAAACCTGCGAAGTATTATTGATCTTAGACAATGACCTAGGAAATTGAATGAACTTCACCATTATTTTAATATCATCAGATTTATCACAAAGCAACTGTGCATAGCTTCACTCACCGTGGTCAGTAAGGAGGGCATCTTGGAAGTTCTAGTAGAGTCTGCCACCTGTGCGTTTTACTGTCATTCCTTCTCTGTGCCCTCTATATCCTCATGTCTGTCCAATGCAGAGTGTGGGCAGCCCAGGGTTTCTCAGCCCTGGCTGCACAAGAAAATCAACTAGGGAGTCTTTTTAAAATCCCCAAGGATTCTAATTTAACTGACCTGGGAGTGGGGCCTCTGTGCTGATTGTGAGTTCCCAGTGACTCTCTGGGAGCCAACGTGGACAGTCACATTGATGACAATTCAGCTGCTCTTCCCATGTCACCAGCAAAAGTAATTTGTGTTCCAGGATTGACAATAGGTGCTGGCTGCAGCCTGGCCCAGATGAAGGACATCTTGGCTGAGAGGATATCCGAGCTCCCAGAGGAAAAAACTCAAACATATCAAGCCCTCCTGAAGCAGCTGCAGAGTCTGGCAGGCCAGCAGATCCGGAATATGGCAGTACGTTCCCTGATTTCAATCACTGGGCACACCACACCCATTCCTTAATCTTACTGAAATGTTAGGATATGCATTGGCAGAATCTATGCAAAAAGATCTCAGCAGATTGAAACAAATGGCACAATAAATACTTAAAATTAACAGGCATTATTTAATAAAATATTTCAAGAGAACTATAAGTCAAGTTCAATTTAGTGGTTAAGCAGCAGCACAGGTGTAGAAAGGATACTATTTTTCATGGTAACCCTGTCCTTGACAGGAATTTAATTTAGCCTTAGGCTGTGTTCATGAAAGTATAGTATCTAAACCAAGGAGGGTAGCGTCTGTGCTCTGGACTGTTCAAACCACAGCTGGAGAATAATGCTCAAATCTGAGAAGTTCACTTTAAAGTCTGGCTGTTTTCAACCTCAGAAGAAAGCAGAAAGACAGGTACAGGTTTTCAAAATACATGTGCTCCCTCGCCTGCATTCTCCAAATGGTATATTAGAAATGCTGGGGATATGAGGAATCGAGGGAAGACACACTTCCTTTAAAAAGCTCTCAGGTGATTCCAAAGTGAAGGCAGCAGGTGAAAGAGGGGTTGAAACCACCCCAGAAAGAGGAGGAGTGGGGAGGACGGTCAAAGGGAACATGAGAACAGCCTTCAAATCCTTACAGCCTCCCGAGGTCAGATGTGTTATTATACAGGACCACACACACAGGAGTGAGACGGACAGGTGGGAGTCTAGGGAGGGAGATTTCAGCTCAGGGGAAATAAAAGAACTTTCAGACGGAGCTGTGCACGGAGGAGTGGGGGCTCCCTGTACTCGCCTGTGTTCTGGCCCCAACCACAGCAGCTGGGGAGGTCACTGCGGATCCCTTCACCACGAGGGAAGGGGAGTGTCGAGATGTGCGGTCATTCTCTTCCCTCCCACATTCTGAGATGCTACACGCTTCGTCAGATCCAAGTGAAGTTTCCCAGGGAGGGCACGAGGGTACTATTCTGTCAACAGCATGGATGCTCAGAACCTTAACATGGCCCAAGGGAAGCCTGGGCATCCCTCAGAGAGTGACAGCCCGTGTGCTCAAGGCAGCATGGCCTCCCTGTAGCCAGCACCACAGTCTTTGAACTGGGGTCAAGGCCCAAGGTGGTGACTCAGAATTGACCAGTGAGCCTCTCTGCTCCCTTGGTTTGATCCCCAGGCTCACCACCTCCTGGCTGGGACCTTGCCCAAGTTTCCTGATTTCCTTGGGACCCAGTGTCTCCATTTGTAACATAGGAATAATGGCCTCCATCTTGCTGGGTTGTTGTGAGGGTGAAGTGAGTCAGTGTGTGCGGGAGGATATCAGCATGCGGAACTCACCTAGTGTTAGGTAACTGTGCATTGTCTTCAATCCCCCTTTCAACCTAAAGGCAGCAGTGGAAATGCGCCCTCCCAGCTTGCTGAACTGACGCAGATTCCTCTTGATCTTTCATGGCCACTGAGGGGACTGTAAGCAGGTGCCAGTGGGTAGAGAAGTTGAGGGACAGCATGACTGACCAGTAACTCTCTCTCCCCAGTCCTTAGGGGGACATATTGTAAGCCGGCACTGCTACTCCGACCTCAATCCAGTTCTTGCTGTGGGCAATGCTGCCCTCAATCTCGTATCAGCAGGTAAGCTATCCAGACACGCAGTGGACATCCGGACATCACGGGTCTCTAGGGGCAGAAGGGAGGACTGATTAATTTTAGTTGTGGGCTAATACAACCCAATTCCTCCTACCTGGGAATTCAGAGTTGTAGAGAGAGATTTGGTGTCCCACAAAAAGCATTCCCCCCCATATACAACCTTTACCCTGGTCAGCTTGTATGAGGCCATAAGGCCACACGGATTAGGGACGGACAGGAAAGGCTCACCCTGCTGACCCACTCAGGCTTTTTGCTCAGTCCCCCAGGCCTCTGGTCCGGGATGACCCCAACTGACTTCAAAGTTCAGGAGAGGGAACCCAAGACTGGCATACCAAGTCAATGAAGACAACAGATTCCCCCCAATGCCTCCCAGTAGAGCAGCCATAGGAGCAACAGCAGCGGTGGTGACTTCTCCTGGGTGACTTCCCCACTCCAAGTGCTGCCTGGCTCCAGCAAGGACTGTAAATAGTAGGGCAGGGCCAGGCAGAGGCCAACCAGTGGCTCCTTTGGGGCACCCCTGCCTCCTCATACTACACCTACATTCCAACCAGCGCAGCACAGATAGGCCAGGATCAGACTCCAGGTGGCAGTTTGGTCCCCTCATGGTGCATCCTGTGGCACCACAAATCACTTTGTAAAGTCAGGGGAGACAACTCTGATCACCAAGAGGTAACAGCTGCATTAGGAGGGGCTTTTGCGAATTGTTCACTTTACTTTAAAGGTATAAGTAAATGTCTTAGGAGCCGACAAAAGCAGCAAGGACAAAAAGTAAATCCACCGATTGGAGCTCAGTTAACAGTGGAAGCAGGCCCTGTGTTGGCCTCAGCTGTGCCTTTAACTTGAGTGTCCACATGAGCATCGAGCGGGTTCTGTGTATTTAACCAGCCTCTGTTGAAAGATGAAAACCACATGTGTCTGGCAGGCAGAGGAGACCCCAGTAATGGGGCGCCTGTGCTAGTGAGAGAAGGGTGAACGTCACGATGCAGCTGCCACACCTCCTGTGCAGGGAACCGCACCTGTGACTTTGCCATGGAACCGGACCTGTGTATCTCTCTGCAGAGGAAGCTGGCTTTTCCTTTTCCACTGCCATTCAAAAGTACAGAATAATCTCACTTTTCTTGTTGTTATTGCAGAAATGTCATTTTCTTCCACAGAAGGTACGCGGCAGATTCCTCTAAATGAGCATTTTCTGGCTGGGTTGGAAAGCACAGACCTCAAGCCAGAGGAAATTTTGGAATCTGTGTATATCCCTCACTCTCGGAAGGTAAGAATTCCATGGGTTGCTTTCGACAGTTATTCTTCCCTTTTCATAACTGAGGACAGCTATCTGCAGAAATCTAAAAACAGGCGGGAGGCTGCCCTGTAAACCTGTTCCCTATCCCACCACTGACCAGGCCGGCACCAAGGCCCTCCGACACCCACAGCAAGCAGCTCTGGGGTGTGGGTTTGGGGTTGTTGTTTCAGCTGCAGGGTGGGGCCTGCCGAGGGCCTGGGTCAGGTCCAGGTCCCTTGTGTTGGCAAGTTAGAGCTCCTGGCTGTGGAACAGAGTTTCTCCACCCGACCCACAGGGAGACTGAGGCTTGGCCTCCTCCACCCACTCCAGCCACCCCTAAAACTTCCTAGAAGCAGCTGTTTGCTAACCCAGGAGCCCTGGAGTTGACCTGGCCACCCAGCCAACTGTGGTGGTGGCCTCTATCCAGTCACTCTCTGCCCCCTGTGCCTCTCCCAAAGCTGTAGCTGATTCCAGGAGGTCAGTCTTCCCAGGAGAAGCATTAAAGACAGACACATGTGCGTGAGCACACACACACACACACACACGCATACACACCAAGCAAAACCCTCAGGCACTGGGTTATGGAGGAAGTCTTATGTGAAGTTATGCTTTCAGCCATGCATGGGCTTCACTCATTTTTCCTTCAGAATGAAAACTTTAAAATATGTTCCCATTCACATCTGTGCAAAGCCAGGAAGGAAAAATAGGCAGGCTCAGACACAAGCACCTTTTGTGGCAGCGCAGATTCACATGCATTAGGGGCATAGCCAGCGCCATTGACCTGCCTTGACACCCCAGAGTTCAAGGCACCAAGGAGCCAGCTGGGGCAGCCATCACCCCCACCCTCGCTCCTGATACAAGAGTCCCTAGTCAGCTGTGAGAAAGTTCTCTGTGGCTCCCTTTCAGCTCTGCTGAATGGAAAAGTGATCGTTTCTACAAACCAAGAAATGGGGTGAGCACCTTTGTGCTTTAAGCAAACCACTTTTAAGTCCTTGTGTTAGGAGGGCTCCTCCAGCCTCACTGGATTGAGGTCTAAAGACTAGGGGGTATGGGACCCAGAAATGCAAGAGCACAGAAATGTTTCTAGGCGAGAGTCTCCAAGGCATTCCGTGTGAGGGCATCCTGGCCTCACAGGGAAAGGACACTCAGGTTCCTGTTCTCTGAGGTGTCAGGACCTGCGGGAGGGGCCCTGGGGAGGACACCATTCTCACTTTAAACTTTAAAGGCAACCACGGTGTCTTTTAACTGTGCCAATTGTTCTTTGGGTCCCTTTAGGTTGAGTCGAAATGATTAATGAGTGGTCTTCGTTTTGACATACTGGATAACCCCAAGTGGTTTCTGTCCTCACAGGGGGAATTTGTGTCAGCCTTCCGGCAGGCCCAATGCCAACAAAATGCTCTGCCCCACGTGAATGCCAGCATGCGCGTCCTTTTCAAAGAAGGCACAGACAGCGTCGAGGACCTGAGCATCGCCTATGGAGGGGTTGGGACCACCACAGTCTGCGCACAGAAGTCCTGCCAGCAGCTCCTTGGGAGGTAGGCGAGTCCTGCACCTCGAGGGTGAAACTTGACATTGAATAACAAGCAGAAATTTTGCTCTGGCAAAGCCCTGGGAAGATGGAAACTTCTACCTGAAGATCACTGCTCGTTCTTTCTGTGATTTGACTGAGTGAATTAAGCCTTATGCAACTTAATCAGGTGCCACTCTTTGGGTGAGGGATACAACAAAAATTCAGCCAGCAGGTGAATTTTTCCCATCTGGCCCCTGTTCTTTTATTCCATCAACATGCCTGACCCACGCTGGGCATTTCGGAGCGCACCTAAGCCTCCCTTGCTGGTGCACTTTTTTCCTCCTCAGTGAAGACAGCATCCAAGTCTATGTCCTATCCAGGCCATGATGGAATTGGCCCTAATGGTCTATTTTATTCAATACCTGGTTCTGCACACCTGACTGTGGGACGTGTTCGTGTCCGTGGTACAACAGAACAGGATCCATTCCCACCCTGCCGTGGCCCTTGGTTTTCCTTACAGGCATGATCAGGAAATTGATTCTAAGTTCCCTCCCAACCCAAAAAAGGAATCTCTGGGGTCTCTAAAATGTCACCGTCCTCTGGCTAGCTCATGCCACACGATGAGACTGCCCTTTAACTGATTCCCTCCTGCCTCTACCCCTGCCAGGCGCTGGAACGAGCTGATGCTGGATGAGGCTTGCCGGCTGCTTCTGGACGAAGTTTCCCTCCCAGGCTCAGCCCTGGGAGGCAGGGTGGAATTCAAGCGGACTCTGGTAGTCAGCTTCCTCTTCAAATTCTACCTAGAGGTCTTGCAGGAACTGAAGAAGCTGGCAAAGCTACTCTCTGTCCCTGTAAGTGCTCTGGAGTATTTGTTTCCCAGGGTTACCATGACAAAGAAACTCAGGGCGAGTGACATAAGCAAAGGAAATGTACCTCGCACAATTCTGGAGGTTAGAAGTCCTAGAATCGAGGGTGTCAGCGGGGTTGGTTCCTTCTGAGGGCTGGGGGAGAATCTGCTCCACACGTCTCTTCTCATTCCTGGTAGTTTTCCAGCAACGTCGGACATTCCTTGGCTTGTAGAAGCATCACTCCGATCTCTGCCTCCATGTAGCGTTCTCTCTGGGTGCACATCTGTGTCCAGACATCCCCTTCTTACAAGAATGCCAGTCACGTTGGATGAGGGCCTATTCTGATGACTTCATTTTAAAGTGATTCCCTCTGTAGTAAGGGGGATAAGGCCACATTCTGAGGTCCCAGCAGGACTCAGCATGAAAGCTTAAGATGGACATACGTCAGCCCATGATATCTTGCTCCTTGCAGCTGTAAGCTCACAGTGTTCCTTCTACTTTTTCAAACTGTCCTATGTGCAGCCTCCCGCTCTCCTGGTGCCTGCCCCCAGTCAGGCCTTGTCAGTCCCCAGCCAGCCAGTCAGCCCTTCTCCAGGGTCCAGCCCTGTGGGGCTGCATAAGACTCGGGATCCCGTGCATACCCCAAGCACCAAATCCTCAGGGTGCCTCTGCCTCCAGTGTGCAATTGTTTTCTTTTAAAATCAACTTTATTAAAGTATAATTTACATATAATAAAATGCATCACATTTTGACAAGTGTGTACACAACATTTCCATCGCCTCTGAACAGAGCCGGTGCCCCCAGTGTCACTGTCCCACCACTGCACAAACAGCTGCCTTTCTGCCTTGTGCCACTATAGATTCATGTTGTCTGTCCTAGAATTTTATACTTAACATAAAATACAAAATAAAATTGTACTTTTCAAAAAGACCAAAATGGATGTATATGCTAAAATTTAAATGGCTGTCAAGACTTATACCTTTAAACTTTGTAAGCTAAGCAAACATTCTCTGTCTCTCCCCCCTTCCTTCCCTCCCCTGACCATGATAACAGCTCTCCTCCTACCTTGTACCCCCTTTCCCAACCTTCCAATAGCCCCCCATTCCCAAAGTGTTTGATTTTCATTGACTCAGATGAAGACCCTCGCCAACCACAGTCACCTGAATAATTCTTGCTACCATTTAATTTCTGGATCAAGACACTCGATGAGTTTCAATGACACCCAGAACAGCCTTCCCAATTCTGCTGCTTTCCCAGAAAAGCTGAGTTCTGAGAAAACAGCCAGGATTTAGGCCCTTTGTATATAACAGACTCCCACTTATTCTGGGATGGCTTGCCTAGCCGCGGCCTCCTGGCTTCTCCTCCGGCTTCCACCCTGCTCACCGGCAGGCCTCTCCCTCCTCAGTGACTGGAGGACCAGTCAAACCAGGCATTCCAGTCCCTGTTATGGTGGGACAAAGAGGACATGAAACAGTCATAGGAAATGAAACCTTGGGAGGTGATGTGGATTTTGGTTATCCAGGATAACTGGATCCATTAGCCAAGTCCTTTTTACATAAACCAAAGCCCAGCTTCATCATAGACTACCCAGCTCATCTTTGTTGTTTTGAATCATCTCTCAGGACAGCCGTCGTTACCCTGACATTTCCGACCGATTCCTAAGCGCCATAAAAGATTTCTCCGTCACAACACCCCGGGGAGTCCAAACGTACCAGGTCAGTGAGTTTAATTTAACCAAGTCAGCCCATGACATCTTGCTCCTTGCAGCTGTAAGCTCGCAGTGCTGTTCTGAGCAAACAAGCTTTTCAGAGCTGTGATCTTTAGTTCTGACTTCCCAGTTGCTCCCAGCACTCTGCCCAGGCTAAGTCAGGGAGACGCTGGAATCTGAGGACAGGCCCAAGCTGCCACTAGAAGGACTGAGGCCTGGCAGACTATTAATTATGGTCTCTTCAAAGTGATACTCCTTGGCCATTTATCTGATATTTACTCAGAAGAGCAGCTGAACTGGAAGGTCCAGCTCCCAAACCTGATTGCAAATGCTTCCTCTCCTCTTCAGCCAGCAAACAAGAGCCCTGCAAGTGACAAGTCACTGTTTCTAGAAGGACAATTTCGAAGTCGCTTATTCTTCTAGTGCACGCCCTCCCAACTCCACCTCCACACACACGTGCAACTCTTCCCTGAGAGAAGCTCCAGAAAAAACACGTCCCTCTCCTTATCCTCCTCGTGATGTTCTGTGCCATTCTCAGGGACAGCCAGGCCACTTAATCTGGATCTAATGGGACTCCGCTGCCATCCCCCTAGAGGCCCCGCTCAAGTTGATCCTTGGCCTTCTGGCTTAGATTTTGCTCTCCCACCCTGGGAACTCTGTTCACTTTAGGCCTTATGGCATGGCCACTACGTGTGGACAGGCTGATCACTGGGATACAGAGAAGAGTAAATAAGAGCAAAGACTCTCTAGATGCCTGGGGAAAGAACACACCAAACGGAGAACTCGAGATGCCCCTTCGCTCACTTCACTATTTTGCCAAAAGATGGGCCCTGTCTGAGTTGTTGCCACATAGCTGAAATGACAATTCCCCATTCTGGTTACATCATCAAATTGTCACAGTCATCCTCTGACCCACTCCAGGGTTTGCTGCCCGAGGCTGACCCTCTTAACTTGTCAATCCTGAAGAATGTTGGGAACTGGCCAGGCCACTTCTGAAAATGAAAGGCTTCTGGGGTAACTCTTGTCTTCCTCTCTAGAGTGTGGATTCTTGCCAGCCGCTCCGAGACCCAGTTGGACACCCCATCATGCACCTCTCAGGTCTGAAACATGCCACTGGGGAAGCCATGTTCTGCGATGACATTCCCGTGGTGGATAGAGAACTGTTCATGGTTTTGGTGACCAGTAGCAGGGCTCATGCAAAAATCATGTAAGTACACACAAAGCTTTCAAAATCCTTTTAAAAACATACCTGGAGATTCCCTCAGAGGAACATAGTC